AAATGTGCCACTTTGTTCTCTTCTGTCTTTTCCTGATGTTTAGAGGGAGAAGGTTGCTGTTACACTGACCACCAAGACGGGAGGGAGTCTCAACAAGCAAGTGCTGAAGACCGTTATTCCTGCGAGCACCACCACTGCCTCGTCTGCTGGATCAGGGCAGCAGCGTGTGTTAGCCACAGCATCTACCTCATCCCATGGTTCTCGATCCACTGCTAGTGCTAGTGCTGGTGGTGCTGATGCTGTGCACCGGAACAGGCAAAATGTCAGTTCTTCGGTGAGCAGTAACAGAGGAAACGCTGGTGAACTAGCAGCGGTGGCAACAGTGGAAGATGACGACGACGTACCTCCACCTCTTGAGCCACTAGATGGTAAGAAACGCTAAAATATGCATACTGTATCTCTTTGTTGTCTAATTTCTTTCGTCTTCTCTCCCACTTTAGTTTTTTTCACACCTTACCTTGTATACTTCCCACTATCCGATAACCTATAAGTAGTTTGTTTCTCCGTATAGCCTCTATTGTGAGACGATTTTCCCTGATGATAGTCTCAAGAAAATCGATTAGGAACAACCATTTTAGATACATGTATTCTCATTCATCATTTTGTAATGTCCGCTTCACTTATACTATTAATCGCATTAATAAAGTTGTTGTCTCCTCGTCGCCTTTTCATTGTTGTTTATTTTTGTTTGTGTCGCGTATAACTTACTCCCTCTCTCCCTATCACACATTCTCCATCTCTTTGTTTCCCAACTGTGTCACAGTACTCTCTCTCTCTCTCTCTCTCTCTCTCTCTCTCTCTCTCTCTCTCTCTCTCTCTCTCTCTCTCTCTCTCTCTCTCTCTCTCTCTCTCCCTCCCTTTCTCACGTTGGGTCTCTCTTAAAAGGTCTTTGCTTTCAGTTAGTGGATGTGTAATCATTGTATCTATTCTCTGTGTTGATCATTGTATCTGTTCTCTGTGTTTAGGTGAAGAGTTTGAAAACAGCCCTGCACCTGCTCGTAGCCAAGCCACTGTGGCAGCTAGTCATTCTAACCAGCGTCGTGGCAGCCAAAGTATTATGTAGGTCTATGTTCTGTGTGTGTGTGTGTGTGTGTGTGTCTCTATCTATCTATCTATCTATCTATCTACTCAATCTGCGGACAGAACTGTTTCGTCCTTTGCGGACTCATCAGCGCAGCACAGAAAATGAGCCCGAGCCTGATAGCGATGAAAAATAAATTTTCCAAAGCCAGATTTAAACCAGGCCCAAACGCACCTTGCCAGAGTGCTCAAACTGACGAATCAGTGAGCCCTGCATACCGCAAACAGCAAAGGCACTACCCCACATGGGAGTGCTCACCTACTACAAGAGCAGGAGCGAAATACTTCCTGAGTACATTGTACATGTAGCTGTGCTAGCTGTGCTGGCAAGACATGTCGGTGTGTACCTGCACACCTGATGCTCATGTAGTATGCGAGTGCAAGCCATGTTTCCATTGCGCAATGTTTGAAACACTCCTGTAGTATGCGAGTGCAAGCCATGTTTCCATTGCGCAATGTTTGAAACTCTCTTGTAGTATGCGAGTGCAAGCCATGTTTCCATTGCGCAATGTTTGAAACTCTCTTGTAGTATGCGAGTGCAAGCCATGTTTCCATTGCGCAATGTTTGAAATACGCTTGTAGTATGCGAGTGCAAGCCATGTTTCCATTGCGCAATGTTTGAAACACTCTTGTAGTATGCGAGTGCAAGCCATGTTTCCATTGCGGAATGTTTGAAAGAGACAACCATTATGTTATTAGTACAATTCAATAACTGAATGTTCCAAATCGCTCATACTACTTCAAGTACATGTAGTTACATGAGAAGAAAGAGACAAAGCGTAAGCCAGACTACAAAATAGCCACGTGTACGCGTAGATCAGTCCTTAGATCAACATGAAGGCTTATGCGTTTTAAAACACGGAGCAGGTATCACAGCTACAAGAAATTAGAGCAGCCAAGAACAGCAGGCACGTCCTGCGGCCAAGCAATAGTTCATATCACACTGAGAAAAAATGACACAGGTTCGCGTGCAGGGCGGGTCAAGAACCGCCTTTCCGATTCCGTGGGACGCCACCACCCCTTGATAAGGCGTCAGATGCGGCTCCTAAACGGTAGGGGAGGATAGATCAGATCCACCGACCAGAGGCCAAAGGCCGAAATCCCATTCGCCACATCCACATTCCTCGTGCCAGTCCACAAGCTCCCAATTCATTGTGGGTCGCAGCACGGCTGGAAAAAATCCTCCCGCTTCGACTGAAAGGCAATCATAATTTGTGGGACTCAACATAATGAAGTAGCGTGCTCCACTGTCCGAAGAGTTTGTGTGACTCTCAATGAGTGATGTAATAGATGGAAGAGTTCTTGGACTCAGCTATTGTATTATCATACAGTACATGTAGTACCATTGTCTTTCTTTATTATTTTATAGCTGGGAATGTGAACCTATGGTTGATAATGTGGTGGTAAAGACACACCTGGCAATATGGCGGTAAACACACGCCTGCCCACACACGCTCTCTAGGCTGCAAAGTTCTGGCACAGAGCTCTCCTTCTCACCACCTCCACCACCATCAGTTCGCGCCTGGCGCCTGGTCGATGCATGGCTGGCGGTATCCGGCAAAACCTAGTAAAAAAAATGTATTACACGATGAGCAGGTGGACAGTCTAGCTTTCCAGTATGCACATGGTCTTTAAAAAGGAAAGTGCCAGCAGCTGGGGATAAAGCGGCTTGACTGAAGTACTCACTGCTACATCTTTTACAGAAGCTTAGTCCTATCGTGCATAATAGCAACAAGATACGGCAAAGTCGATCTGGAATGGTACTGCGAGGGTGTGGAGAAGTCCATGAGCAATCTGTTCCCCCTTCATGGTCTCCGCAGCAAGCTTCAAGGAGATCAAAAGTGTTTTAGCGCTCTACAGGCTCTGGGCGGACCATCCTCTGGACGGAAAAAATGGCATGGCCATGTTCCTACTGGTCATAGCGTGTGTGACGGCCCTGAATACACCGGTCAATGATAGCCATTGCCTTGCAAACATGCGTAGTCTCATCAAACACTATGGAAATATGCATGTGCTTTCTGTCCGTCAAGAAGGCCTTCACCTCAGCCACTTCCTTATCTCCGATCATTGGAATCAGATCACTGACATGTTGGCTGCCAACGATCCAAAATTGAGCGTGTGCAAGTAGAGCTCTCATGGTCAGTACCGGAATCCTCACTGCTACTACCAGCAACTGCTTCCCGAAGTGACGGGGCATTCAACTTTCAAGATAAAGAAATTTGAAGAATACCACATCATTCTGTTGCCATGGCAACGTGTGAATGATTTTCGCACATTGGGTTATGTTTTAAATCTTTTTAGATTTTGTTCACAAGTTTGAATCTATCCGTTTTTGAGAAAAACATCAATCCCGGAAAAATTCGAGTTTTCCTCCACGACTTTCCAATTTTTTCCGAACAATGTGGAAAAGCCTAATGTATGGTGTATCGTGCATGTCATGATGTCATGTGCTGTATTTTTTCCTATGTGTGTGCATGTCCTGATGATATGATGTGCTGTCTGTATGGTGTGGCTGTCTGTCATGTCTGTCATGTCTGTATGTGTGTGTGTGTGTGTGTGTGTGTGTGTGTGTGTCACAGTTATGACACGGCTGCTGAAGACTCACTGGACACTTTAGAGGAGAAGATTGAGACTCTGTCTACGTGGTTGGAGTACTCCGAGAAAGGACGGTATGCAGTATTTGCCATCCATGTCTACTTGTGTTTGTGTGTGTTTGTGTGTGTGTGTGTGTGTGTGTGTGTGTGTGTGTGTGTGTGTGTGTGTGTGTGTGTGTGTGTGTGTGTGTGTGTGTGTGTGTGTGTGTGTGTGTGTGTGTGTGTGTGTGTGTGTGTGTGTGTGTGTGTGTGTGTGTGTGTGTGTGTGTGTGTGTGTGTGTGTGTGTGTGTGTGTGTGTGTGTGTGTGTGTGTGTGTGTGTGTGTGTGTGTGTGTGTGTGTGTGTGTGTGTGTGTGTGTGTGTGTGTGTGTGTGTGTGTGTGTGTGTGTGTGTGTGTGTGTGTGTGTGTGTGTGTGTGTGTGTGTGTGTGTGTGTGTGTGTGTGTGTGTGTGTGTGTGTGTGTGTGTGTGTGTGTGTGTGTGTGTGTGTGTGTGTGTGTGTGTGTGTGTGTGTGTGTGTGTGTGTGTGTGTGTGTGTGTGTGTGTGTGTGTGTGTGTGTGTGGTATGTGCAGCGACTTTTCAATCGATAGGTTCCGGGTTCGATTCCCGACGATTATGGTCACACCCGTCTTTCTTTTCTTTCTCAGACTCTTCCTGACTTTTCTTTCATTCTCCTGGGTGGTTACCAACAGCCAGTGCATGCCGGAGTATGTGGTGTGATGTGTGTGCGGGGAAAAAAATGAAAAGACCAAAAATAGGGATTCACTGGCCAGAAAAAGTCACTTCAAATAGCTGTATGGTGTAGACCAGGCTGAATAGTGACGGTCAATTCTTCAGCCTTGCAAGCTGTTGAATGGTGCAATCCCAGCACAAGTTGCTATGGCTTCTGCCGTAGCATTGCTATCATCGCCTCCGGCGATGGACGTCAAAAGATGTGTGTGTGTGTGTGTGTGTGGGCAGTGATGCATTGTTGGCGCCAGCACGTGCAGCCTATCCCTGGTGTAGGCGCAAAGGTCTTCTTCGAGCCAGATGGGAAGCTACTCCACCACCGTAGCCGCCGTGATAGATCCCTGGAGCTGACAGAGTGTCAGTTTGCTGATGATTCCGCTCTTGTGGCCGCGACACGCCAGGCCGCAGTTTCAGCCTTGGAGGTATTTGTGGATGTATGCAGCGATTTTGGCCTCACCGTCAGTGCCACCAAAACCAAGTTCATGGTCTCTGGCCCCAACATCTCTAACGACGATCTAGAGCCGCTCGCGATTCGAACTATGGAGATTGCCCATGTGTCGTCTTTTCGTTACCTTGGATCCAACATACACAGCAACGGCCGATGTCATGATGATGTCACATCCCGGATTGCACAAGCTGCCAAAGCGTTTGGCGCTCTGAAGAAATCGATATTCCACGATGTAACACTGACAATATCCATCAAACGGTCAGTGTACACTGCTTGTGTGCTGTCGACTCTGCTCTATGGGTCCGAATGCTGGGTACCGCTACAGGCTGATGTTCATGCGTTGTCTGTCTTTCATCTCCGTTGTGTCCGCACCATTCTGGGCATCAGTCGTCAAGATGTATGGAATGACAGGATAACTAATGTTGAAGTTCTGGAGCGCTGGGGAGATAACTTGGACATGGAGTGTCGTCTCAGCAGACGTCGCCTTGAGTGGCTTGGTCATGTGGCAAGGATGGAGGATGAGCGCATCCCGAAGGCTCTACTGTTCAGTTCGTTTCCAAACAAGAGACCTGCCCATGGTCCGCGGAAAAGGTGGCGAGACTGTGTTCGGAGTGACGTCAAACCACTTGACGACTGGTATGAAGTGGCCACCTCTTCTCGCTCCAAATGGCGCCAGGCTTACCGTTGTCTGCCAGACAAGCAGAACAGACCTCGACCATCACCGGTTGTGTGCCAAACTTGTCACCGCTCCTTCAGTCGTGTAAGTGACAGGAAGCGACACAAGTGTACAGCTACGCGTGCCCTACCCGTAAGCCAACAGCCAGGAAGCTGTCACTGCGATCAGTGCGACAGATGGTTCCGGAGCAAGGGTGGATTTGCCCGACACAAGTGCTCGCCAGCAACATCACCAGCAGAGGCATCTTCTGACACACTTGAGTCACCGGTTACAAACAATATGTCCTGCGAACGCTGCAGCTTCCACTGCGCCCGCTGCAACCGCTGTGTGCTATCGCGCCAAGGCATGAAACGTGACAAGTGCAGCCGTGGCTCGGCCAGAGCAACCAACACAGACCGTAGCTCCTTCTGCATCGTTTGCAATTGCGGTCGGCGTTTCAGTAGACCACAGGACCTATCCCGTCATCGCCCCTACTGTTCCGAACCTGCTCAACCCCCCATGGGGTCCGCATAGCCAGAATATGGCAGCGCGTCCAAGGTCCAAGGTGTGTGTGTGTGTGTGTGTGTGTGTGCGTGCCTGTGTGTGCGTGTGTTTTTTCCTCTACAAAATCCACATTATCTCCAGACACTGGGGTGTGTGCGTATGTATGGGTGTGAGAGGCGTTGTACTAATGGAAGTGACAAAAATGCTCAAAGAACATTTTCAGTTCCGTGTGTTCGCCTCACTTCCTGCATTTTACTAGGTAGGTTGAATTTCTCCGTGAAGTCCAAGCTTTGCGTTTGTGACCTCCACGTTGTGTGCTTGTTTGCATGCATTTGTGTGCTTGTTCGTAATGCACATCTTCTTTGTGTGTGTGTGTGTGTGTTGTGTTCTTGGTGATGGTGTTGTGCGTACAGGCAAGAGCTGTGTGATGTTCCCGGTACAACAGACAGTTTTGACAAAGTTCTACAAGCTGCACGACAGCGCCTAGACCGGCTCAAACGCCTTGCTTTGGAGAAGAGGCGTGTAAACCAACACCTCCCGTCTCCATCTCTTCTTCCACGGCCGCGTTGTCGCTAGTCTCTCCTCTCTCTCTCTCTCTCTCTCTCTCTCTCTCTCTCTCTCTCTCTCTCTCTCTCTCTCTCTCTCTCTCTCTCTCTCTCTCTCTCTCTTCTCTCTCTCTCTCTCTCTCTCTCTTTCTCTCTTTCTCTCTCTTACTTCATTCAAAGTGTGGACGCAGAATTTTCAAGGGCCGAGTGCTGCTGCTTGCTTTCTTGTTACGTAAAGTGCTTCCAAGTACGAAATTTCTGCATTGGCTACTCTCTGTCTCAAGATTCTGCTCAGATGGCAGTTGACTTTATGTCAAGTTGTTGACAGTGTTTAGGACTCTGGTGTGGCAGTTGACAGAGATATTAATTGTCTCCCTTCGTGTGGTCTTTTTCAACCAATTACCTGTTTTTAAATGTTGGGTTTCCATTGTCATTATTACTCTGAATGCGGTTTGTCTTGTGGTCTGCCAGACTGGTACGAGTGTGCTGGATCACCTACTGTTTGCGGCCTCCATGTTCGTGTCTAGTCCCCGGACTGCGGAAGTACCCTCCCCCCCCCCCCCCATTCCCGTTTGCAGAGTACACTCGTACCTCCTTTTACCCTCGCAATTTGGGGCCGGGCACTGCCTTGCACTGCCTGGCACTTTGAAATGTCTGTAACTCTGAATCACATACGTTTCGATGGGGAAAGACCAGAGATATGGCATATGACCTCTCACTGCTTACACTCAAAATGACCAAAGGACTGCAGTGATATTTCCACTTAACGTCTCCTCGCCTGCCTGGCTGGCATGACACTGTCTTGGAAGTAATTGAAAGATATACAAGCATGTGTGAATTTTGCGGAAATGCAGGACATGCATTTGCACGGAGTTGAATTCACAGATTGATGTCAGAGGTAACGCCCCGCAACTACAATACTATCAAGAGTATTCATCAATAGTGGTTGTGATGCACTACCTTATTCCACCTACTTCCCTGTGCACTGTTCTTGCAGCTTGTACTCGTAACTTGCTGTATCTCTTAATAGGGCTTGAAAGTGCTACGTCACAGCATAGCAACAATTTCAAAAATTCAAAAACTGGATCCACTTGGATCCAGTTTTTGTATGGATCCAAGCACATTTCAAACCGTTTTACCAAGAGTACATTATGTACTCTTGGTCTTACTCACAGCAAGGTGATGTAACCAGTGAAACTGACTGATTTGGCTACTGGAGGCGGGGTTACAACTGGTGGCGAAATAAAAGTCACACCTGCATGCGACATGAGTGGGTTGCTATGCACCGGCAATAGCAAAGTCACACCTCAGTGGATCCAAAAATAGAAATCTGATGTCAACTTACTACTCCCTGGCCGTTTTGACGTCATCACTTTCAAGCCCTATTTGCTGGCCGAAAATCCTATATATAGGATTTGAAAATGTGTGCCTTTTATGCCGTTGCTATTGGTCATCACGACCGATAATAACGACATAATGGTTTTCATGGAAGTTGTAAATATGTTTGAGGCATGAATGTTTACATTTTAGATTCATACGGCGATAATATTTCTGATGAATACCCTTTTTTAGCAATAATTGATTTGAGCATAATTGTTCAGCTGCTGTCATGGAAAGGACTGAAGCAGTGAATGTGCAGAAGAACATTGCAGGTGTGGCACGGGGTGGTTTCATGACGACATCTCGCACATGCCGTCATGAAACTACCAGTTTTAAGGATAAAACAAGGTCCAATAAAATCTCAAATCCTATATTATTATAGGATTCGAAAAATAGGGCACAGGCCTTAGTAATATTGGGCAAGGAGATGAGCCTGAGATGTTAGTGTTTGAAAAAATATCTTATTCAACTCTCGATATCTACTTAGACCTAGCAAGGAAAAATTGGTCACATACTTTTTGCTATTCTCATGCCACACCCATTTTGAGTTGAAAAATATGACCAAAATCCTATATATAGGATTTAGCAAATAAAGAGATACACAGCCAAATCCAAACATTGCGTCGTGCAAAGCGGCTGTTGATATGCATGTCATGTACATGTACATTGTACTAAGAAGGTGTTTTGAGAACTTGGAAACTCCTGCAACTGTAGTATTTTCATCTTTCTGAGACTAGCAAATTATTAGTTGTACTATCTTGTACAGTAGGCATGCAGCGTGCAGGTCCAGGGTTTCCTTGTGCCTGTTGCACCCATTACGTGCCCGGGTACCATCTTGACCAGGGGAGAAGTAAAATGCCGTATGCTGTTGCTCCCTGGTCTTGGCCCGGCCATGCATACTGCACCAAGTGGTTCGGGATTCTCCAAAAGCAAACTAATGGATGCTTATCCGCGGGAAATCTCCTGCGGCGCGGGAATACATTGCTATAATATTTATGTAGGAAGTCTCAAGAACAGTGTGGGAGTGCACAGCTAGGGAGGAGATGAAGCAGACTAAGAACGTGACTTGAGCAAAGGTAAACTATGTACAGTACTGTGTGTGGACTTGACTATTGCCAGTACACAGTACACTGTATTGGTGAACGGTGAGGCGGGCACACATCACCGTTATGCACGCATGCAGTTGCTCACTCAAGGGGGGGGGGGGGGGGTAGCCAGGCATGTAGCCCGCATGGGGCATGTGCACCCCTAACAATTTCGACCTGGGTTCAACATGCACTAGTATGCGGCCGTGCACCCCCCCCCCCCCCAAAGGGGAACCAGCTACGCCCCTGGGTACCGGTGTGTACTCTTTAGGGTTGGCTCCACTTCTAGCCAGGTCAAAAATTCCAGGGGGGGGGGGGGGGGGCAGGCAGGGGAAACCGTTACCCATATTTTTCCATTTTCCAAAATCGTCTTGCCATGCAAATTGCAATGCACAGGGCAAACCCCCGACTTCAGCCCAGACAATTACAAATGTGCCGTCAGCAGTGGCTGCACCAGCCATTCCGGCAAGAATTAGACACTAACCCATGTAGGTGGCCATGTGCGTTGTCTTGCACTGTGCCAGGGCTACAACATGCACTTGGAGGCCTTGGTGGATAATGCTCAGAAACAGGGCAGAACCATGCAAAGCTTATGTCTGGCAATTCCTCGGACTCTGCTTCTCTTCTTTATCCATCTGATACCGAGCATGTATGAAACGTACCAGAAGCAGTATCAAATTCTAATGATACTCCCCCCCCCCCCCCTCCACCCACGATACACACACATTCTTCCAAGTTGCTTCACGTTATGATCTTGCAGTTGAAAGCCCAACTCGAATATGGTGGCCAGCTGTCTTTGATAGTACGGTACGGGACAGTGGCGCCGGTCACACACACGAAATTAAAGCTGTGTGGACCCTGGCTAGTGCCAGACGCTACTCAAGTAACGTCTTTTGCATAGCTCCGGGAATAATTATGGTATTACCCTCTCCTTTGCCGTTGTACATAAGCGACCCGCCGTGAATATGTAAGAGAACTAATACAGGAAGCCCCAGTTTCTAAATCTGAAGAAACTGTTGAATGGTCTCTGCTGGGATGACAGCTACATCATAGCTCAGTGGCTTTGGTCATGTTGCAGAGGTCCAGCATGCACCACACTGCATACAAAGCTAGTCCACTACGCCTTTACAAAGACAAGCTGGTGCTGTGTAAGGCCCTCATCAGACTACGTACATAGAAAATCCAGTACAAAATCACATAAAACCTAAAAGGCAACATTTTTCCATGCCTGCTTTCAGACTACACATTTTACATGCAATATACAGGCAACCTTTGACCCTACGAAATTGCGCAAGGGGCCTGGGATGTGTGAAAGCAGCGGACAGTCGTACCCGGGTACAAAGTTCGAACAACTGCCTGGTGAAAGTACGATAAATGCAGGAAAGTTGCCTTGTACAAGGGTTGGCACCCAGCCTGAAAGGATTGGGCAGCTTTTTAGGCTTCCCGCCAGATTCTTGTTGTTGTCCTGGAAACTTCTATGTAAATGTGACTTATAGGCTGTTTTGTACCAGGTCCTAGTCTTAAGAGGGCCTAAGCGGCAGATGTGCATGCAGTCTGCCGGACTAAGGCCAAGTAAAAAAATCCTAGTTTATCGTCCCCGCCCGCCCCATTTTTCGAGGCCGCCCGGAATTTATTTTTATTTTTTAAATCTAGAATTTTGCCAAAAAGCTTGATTTTTTACGTCGGCTAAGGCTTGAAAACACAGCTTCGTCTTTCTGCCGAAAGTCCGTCTTCATCCTGTCGAGACCTCGACAGTTTTCCGTTCTTTCCGTAGTTGCGACTTTGTTGAGAAGCGACATGCCGTTTGTTTTGCTGCAAATCTGGTGGTCTGTGTGAACCAAACAGTATTGGGGTTTGTGTCTTATGAGTGGAGTGACAATCTGTCGATCCAAAGATTTTGCATGTAATTGTTTATGTACATATAACTGTTATAGCATTGTGTATTCCATACACTACCACTATTCTGTTGCAGATTGTTGCACATGATGTGTCATTGTTTACCAAGAACTATACTAGTCTGTAGCACATCAAAAAATAAAAAATAAAAATAAAATCCGCCCTCCCTCCCCGATTTTTGTGAAAAAAAGGACGATAAACTGGGATTTTATTTTACTTGGCCTAAGCCATCAGCAGAGAGACAGCACTGAACAACAACTAACAGACACCGTAGCACGTTACATCACATCATCCGTGACTAATTCCTGGAATGCAGCAATGCATGGTGCTACAGTACACAGAGTAGCAGAGAGCATGCAGCTAGAGTCTTATCAAACAAGAACAAGGGTGTACAGTGAGTGAGCCAGCGACATGCGACGCATTGTCAATATGCTGCCTTCTTCAGAAAGCTGGTTGATACTTCATTTCACACATCGAGCGACGGTCGTACGATGGGCCACACCAGTTGAGATCAGGCCAACATTTTTGCGATGCAACGAATTTCCCATGCACGAAATGAAGTACGAACCAGACTCAACTCTGCTGTGGGCTGCTTCAGTCACTTTGCGTCATTCCGTTCAGCCAGAAACAGCTCAAGAGAAGACACAGTTCTGCAGCAATGCTACAGCTATGCTCGATGAAATCCGACCTAAAGTGCACATGTGACGTCCTCTACTTGCACTGCCCTTGACCTGGCCCTGAAAGTGGTGCGGATGCAGCTAGACGTACACATGTACAAGTACAGTGATGTAATTGGAACTGGTCCAGGGTGCCAGCTTTGCACATTGGGTCGGATTTCAGTGAGCGCAACTGTACGGTCAACTTGGCTAATAACGACAGCGGATATAACGACAGAATGTCCATGCCCAGAGCAAAGTACCATCCAACTGTAATACATTTAATGAGACTTCGGGTATAACGGCACTTCGCGAATAAGGACACTTTTCTGATGCCCCGCCGAGTGTCGTTATACGCGAAGTAGACTGTACATGGGAAATGTCGTCAGAAATGATCCATGCACTAGTACTGCTAGTAGTCAAGTACCTAGCACACATACCGTATTATCTCTAGTATAAGCACGGTCCTTTATTTTTTCAATGTACCTCCGCCCCGTGCTATTAATGGAGACGTTCCTTTATTGGAGACTGTTCCATTATTATTTCAACCTCATTTCAGACGCATGCTGCCATGCCAAATTCATGTCAGACACACACATTTTAGGGTTTTTTCGCCGGTACAGATAATGAATGTACACAGTGTGCTTATAATGGAGACTGAGCACTTTATTTTTTGAATGCCGCCCCAAGGTGTTCTATTATAGGAGACGTGCTATTATTGGAGACTGTGCTTATATTAGAGATAATACGGTACATCCAGCCTGGAAGTTTCTTCACTTTACTGACCGGGACACCTACATGTACATGTAAATCACTCTGGTGGAATGAGGATCAGAACACACACATGTACATGACTACGTGGACTTTATGACGTCACCCATCAGCACCAGAACATACAACTAATACTTAGACATGACCAATACAGAGACAACACACAAGACGGGAATATAGACAAATACAGTACTGCCGAGTACTGCTGAAGAACCGGTGACAAAGGTTAGACTCGTAGCCTAGGCCATTCTTATGTTCATACACTACAGTCTATGCACAGTTGAGTCACCGTGTGTACATCGGTATGCTACGCTGGGTGAAATCATAGCCTGGTCGTTTTTTGGCGCCCGACAGAACTGTAGCTAGTGAAAGGAATGAGATAACGGAGCCGCTCACACACGCCCAGACTACATACATGTATCATACAGCAATTACAGTTGTATCGGGTGAAATCCGACCCAAACAGCACCCTTGACACCATGGAAGTGGTACAAATGTAGCCAGACCTGCATCTGTGCACGTACAGTAATGCACTGGAAACTGATCTAGAGTACCAGCTTAGCAGTGTGGTTCAGTCAACACCCAGCACAACGGTACCTACAGTCTATTCAGAAAAAAGATGATATCCTAGCTTTTGGCCATAAACGGGTCAAATTTTGAGTTTTCCACACAATTGTTTTGGCAACCCCATGCCATGGAATGCTCTTCCAATTGTGTTTTTGAAGTCTATTTCTCCAAAAAGCAAGCCATAACAAGAATAGGATTTCAGCCAGGTTTTGTCCCCAAAGCACTGAATTGCGGAAAAACCATGAAAATCCAGGCCGCTCCCTTCACTTGCATAACAGTACATTTGCGGTTCGAACCCCAGTTGAGGTGCCTTTTTTGGACCCTTTTTCAAGTTTGGAATCTCGCGGCACTGCACAGTGTACAGTACCACAAAATCGCCAAACACGGGAGCTCTCCAGAGCCAGCGCAAGCGCTCATCTTTTTCTGAATGGACTGTAGCACCTACTATCGACCTGAGGTCGGCCTGGACAAACAGCGGCGATGCAAACAGTTGCAGTACAAACAAAGACCGGAAGATTAGTCTTAACCATTGAGTGTTCAGGACTACAAACACAGACTTTAGCCAGTGTTAAAGATTACCAACTTCGTCTTGACTGGCACTCAAGATTACAAACACAGTCTTGACTAGCACTCAAGATTTCAAACACAGTCATGACTGATACTTGGGACAACAAACACAATCCTGACAGGAAATCAGGATTTCGAACACAGTCATGACTGGCACTTGGACTATAAACACAGACTTGACAGGAAATCAGGATAACAACCACAGTAATGAAGAGTTTTTCAGGATTATGCAACCGGTAGAGGAAAAGGAAGATGCTAGCTAGTACCAAGAGTGCATGTTTATGGACTCTTGCTAGTACCTATGATGTAATTCAGAGTTTCACGCTATTCCCGATCATCAGGATTCTAAACAATACTCAACACACAGACTGGAGCATAGGTCTTACAGCCAGGATTACAATTAACAGTGTATTGTAGTGTATACTACAGTGCTGCTCAATGAAATCCAGCCGTGTGACTCAAGCACAAGCCGGGCGCTGCGCAGCCATAGACCTGCAACGCTGGGCTGCGAAGTGGCGCAAACTTGAGTGGCGGCACTGATTTTATAGAGCAGCACCTTACAAACATTGATCAACAGAGGACATCAAGTGCTATATTTTCCAGGGTCAAAGCCGCACTCCTTGCCACAAAATATTCGGGCCAAAAGTGGCCCTGTAGCATATACGCCTCACTTTGGAATGTGTGCCATTTGCTGGCAAAAAGAAAATGTGATGAGTATAGCAGTACATCGGCATTGACATGACCCTAGAACATTTACTGGGACAGACATCACAGCACCAACCAGGGTTCGTAGCACAACATATACACAAAACTTCAGGGGATTTCCAGGGGCATTTCAAGGGTATTCACAGATGTCATACAGTCGCTAGACACCACATATCCGTAACCACGCAGAGGTTCACTGATTCAGAATGTCAACAATCGAAGATTTGATCATCTAGAAATAGTAGAGCCACCGCCACCATCACGCTTCTCCATCGCTAAGTTCTTAGCGAACTAGCCAGTCTTTGTACGGGTCCAAAGACAACCAGCGATCGTTGAAAACACACTTGCCTTTCAGCATGGAGAACAAGTACAACTCTGTAAAACTTCTTCGGCATTCCGAAAAAAACCCTGAAGACACTTTGTTTTGTTGAAGGCCAAAACAAACAAATAAAACGGAAAAGCAGTTGCAGTGGCGGATTCCAGTTTCGTTACAGTCAGGAACCGTCGTACCGCAGTCGATAGTCATGGCGATCAAGGCTCAAATGTAAAAAATACCGTAAAGATCTACGCGAGCTGTGCTGGCCGCTGAGGCCGTCGACTCACATGACCAGTACAGGTGACCGGACTGGCACTCGTATATCTATGCATATCATCAAGAGTATATAACCCCCCAAGAGTGTGCAACTCTGCATTATGAGGTCTCCGACGGCGAAAACTCACATCACGTGTCTCAGATACCTTTGTACTACGTACAAACGTAGGATAGCGTGCGCGCAATCCGAAAATCTGCCGTGATCATGCTGGGGATTTGCATACACGCAGTGAGTTTCTGTCGCAGAGAGTGCTTTTTTTGTACTCCGCTGCTCGCTAAAAACGGGCTGGAAACGTAAAACTGCGACACTGCACCACGTGATGTGAGTTTTCGCCGTCGACGTACCCCATAGAAAGGGTATCAGGAGTTGCACACTCTTGGGGGTTTATATACTCTTGATATCATGTACAGTCAGTCGCTGAGTACGGAGGTCTACCAGGTCGCGTGAACTGGAAAACAAATTTCAGGGGATTCAAGGAACATTTTCTATAAAATACAAAATTTGAGGGGGTTTCAGGGAATTCCCGGGGGAAGAAAAACTTTCAGGGTTTTCAAGGGTGCTACGCACCCTGCCAACGTATTGCAATATTTTAACACTGGACATTCGTCACCCCGAGCACAACAGCGGTATCACTGTCCTGTACGTATCTTTGCCAACGCTGGCCAAAGAGTGTTGTTGTGCTTATACGAGATGCCATTGATTCAACATTTTAGCCCTAATCTAAACCAGAGCTGAAGCACATTGTGCATGACCGGATTCTTTGTAGGTCTTGTTCCGATTTAAGCCGTGATATTGTATCTTGCAATGGACAGAGTCACACTGACATGCTGTAAGCCCTTTGACTGTCACCACATATTACACACCATAGACCTACCTACTACACACCATACACCCACCTACTACACACCATAGACCTACCTACTACACACCATAGACCTACCTACTACACACCATAGACCAACCTACTACACACCATAGACCTACCTACTACACACCATAGACCTGCTCGTAGGAGCTAGGGCTGAAACAGCGTATGTGCAACAGGGATGAATTTACTTTTATTTCCTTGCATAGCAGTTTTTGCTATACACAATCTCGATTGTGTAGCAATCTTTGATTTTTGATTAGCACAAAACGATGTCTGTGTGACTAGTGAGTACATGTCCCGCTAGCTTCCAACCTACCACTGCGGTTACTTGCATCATACATGTGCATACAGATTGAGAGCATAGTCATGTACCACCTACACTGCACTGTATGCATGTTTCTTGACGGTGCAGCCCGTATGTACAGTAGTTTTCTGCGAGTCACGGTGGTGATTTTTCAGTAGCAGTAGATCGATTTTGCGTAGCAAACTGCGATGCGATACCAGATAAAATTCATCCCAATGCACAATGGCAATATACTGTAATTTCACCAATTTTCGGCGTACTTTTATTTTCGGTACATTCGGTGCATCTGTTTCATACCTAAAATGTCAATACACCGAACAAACACTAACACACATAATCCAATAGGGAACTGCTTCTCTGCACCTACAATTTCTGTTCGCCTAACCTGGCCTTTTGCCCTCATACCGAAAATATTGAGCACCGAAAATTTCTGAAATTAGAGTATGCGGGACATGTTCTGCCGTGTCCCATCTCGCTCTCACTCTCTATCCCTCATCTCTATGCTGCAACAATAAGTCCACTACTCGTTTTCCAGGATTCAACCTCTATTCCAGATTTGCATCTAAATCTGCATTACTATAAACAATGAGAATTTGAATAAATATCAAGCGAGGGGAGGTAGTTTTCAAATGGTGGGAACTGACATACAAAACAACTGGCTTTCGCAAGAAAAGGGCAGCGACAGCAGAAATACTCTGTCACCGATATACAAACTACACTCAGATGGAGAAAAGGATGACACGGACGGGTAGAAAAAGATGTAGACAGATACGCGCAGGCATACACAAGACATTCGCTCACATGTGCACACATTCACTCACACACACACACACGGAAAAAAAGAAAAATCAGCGAAAGCAGTAGGCAGGCACATTTACCTTCGAAGACTCGGTGAAACAGACGCCATATCTTCGTACATCTCGCCGTCCTCTGCTTCCATTGGTGCAGCTCCCATTTGCGAAGCTCCCATGGACGGCCCACCACCCATCTGTACAGTGGTCATTGCGTGAGCAGATTGCCGAAGAGCACTATTCACGCTCATGTCTTCGTAAGTCTCGCCAAACTCATCCTCCACCGCAGCTGCGGGAGCAGGCGCATGGTGATGTCTGGGTGAGGAGGGCGGCGGAACTCTTGAAGCACTCCCTGGCCGTGCACTAGCAACACCACTGCTACTCATGTCCTCATATGTCTCTTGTTCCCAATCGTCCGCCGACGAGACGGGGTGTGTGTGAGCAGACGGAGGGACAGGATGCGAATGACGCGCCGCAGCAGCAACACTTGCTACTCCACTGCTGCTCATGTCTTCATACGTCTCTTGCTCCCAGTCATCAGATGAAGAGACGGGGTGTGACTGGCGTGATACTACAGGCGATCCTACTGGTGCAATTGGTGGGTATGGATATGTACGCCCTACATCTAAATGAGGTTTACTAGAGACAGCACCTGGTACCTGAGGTGGTGGTGTTGGAGTCATTTGAGGCATTTGAGGCATTTTCGGCTGAGCGCGAGGGTTAGTAGGCCTGGACACGGAGCCTGCTCGAGAGTTGTTACGGGGCGGCAATGCAGGTAAATTGGGCCGCGAGGGATAGGACATAGATGATGAATGACGCTGTGGTAGACGGAGTCGGCAGGGCAAGCCAATACTGTCATGGTGATGGTAATGTGCCAGCAACTCCTCGATCGCGCAGAAAGAATTCTCACTGCCTTGTAAACAGAAACGCTCTGGTCCGCGTTTTTCCACTAGGTAATGGCCAAGTGATCCAGTACTTGGCAGAACCACTGACAACGCATAGCTCCCACCTTTACTCGACTCTCGGAGTATAAAAGATCCGGCTTCGCAGCCTTCCAGGAGTTGAGCTCCCTCAGAACGACTGATAAATGGATGATGCCACTGGTTGGTCGTGGCTCGAAGGTGATTAACGGCACTGCCTGAAATGAGCAAGGAAGATAAAGAAACATCGAAAGAACAAGAATATAGTTTACACCCTGATAAAACAAGAAAACAAAACTTTCGAGGGTTGTCGAATACGTACTGGCTCCGGCGCCGAACTGATTCATCTTTCATCCAGCCTCCTGTTTTTCTGCGCGGACTCCCAGCAGTCTAGCTCCCTCGGCACAACTACTGTAATGTAACGGCACTGCTTGCCATGCATGAGCCAAGAAAATGGATGAAAATCCCAAACAAGAAAACAGGTTGGAAACCTCGGCCTGAGGAAAGTGAAAGCCTGCAAAAAGCAAGATGTCGAGGCCGAGGATGTCCAAACTCCGGCGCCGAACAGGCGCATATCCGCGCAACATCCAGAGTCCAGGATCGCACTGACAGCATGCACTGGCATGCATGGGATCCCGGGATGCAGAGTGGAGACCCGGTACCCGTTCGCCCACAAGCGTTCGCGGTTCGTGGTTCGAGCCGCGAGGGAGGCCGAGCTCGCGGGAGGTCGAATGCATGACTGTACGATGTCTATACAAATGGCGTACAACTCCAACGCTTTTTTGCCATCACGTGGTGTCACATGATCACTCCCTGCTTCACTCAGTTCACTGGTCACCACTCACCAGGGACTCAGCAGGGAGTCGTCAAATATTTGACGACTCCCTGCTGGTCACCACTCACCAGTCACAGTTCAAATGCGACGGTTTCAAATAGGACACAGGTTGCAAACCGGAACGAACTCAATATTCACTTTCGTTTCTCTCTTGATATTTTGATTAGAAAACATATGTCACAGTGAGACTACGATGTGTTATAGACCACCCTTTTCATAATTCAGGTGATCTACGGATATTTCCCCTACAAAAAACTATACAGTCCATTCAACGGAAACTATTACTTGCCCGCTGGCTTTTGAAAGTCGGATTTGGGCCGAATTGTGGATCAAAAAACCCACTTTAAATCTCAAAAATCTGGGTTTTGGATCTGCTTCTCCATACATTTTGCCATGGCATACCTGTCCTAATTTTATAAAACCTGGCTGAATTTCTATTTCCCTGTTCTTGGACTTTTCTGGCCTCAAATGTGGCAACGAGTAATTGCACGGGTCACACTATGCAGGATGTACTGTTGTTTTCACGATATCTACAACTATGTGAGAGAGACACCAAAAAGTTAGGGTGCCAGTTTCCAATGAATGAGTTTGAGGGGATTATGGCTCATAATCCCCTCAAACGGGGTGATGTCATATCCACAGGAAATCCTGTGGATCCCCTCGGACGGTGGGTCGGACCCAGTCCTTCTACCAGCATAACCAAGAGAGCTAGCTCCCTTGGCTGCTGCTTGAATATGCAAGAATGGGCCTTCCAGATAGGGTCTAAAAAGGGGAAGTGGCTATAGTTGTCAAAAGAAAAGCATATTGGTGAAACAAAACTAGGGAAGTGGCAATCTTTCTATCAGCAACAAACAAGAGCATCTTAATTTGCAACATGCTACATGAACCGGGTGTGCCAAACACCGGCAACCATAGAGACACACCACACTCTCATATAGATACTGGTTATAAATAGACCGAGTAAGGAAGATAATCCAATAGCTTATGGAGAGTAAAAGAAATTAAGTCAATGACAACAAATGCTCGTCCAGCACACGAGTTGTCATAACTAGTTAGAAACATTGAACGAAATGACAAAGACGCATAGTAATGAGCATCGCCGTTCAATGCAAACTTCGGTTTCTAGTACAGTGTTTGGAAAATTCCTTCTTTCACAGACCTGAAAGATAAATCTTTGCAGCAGTTAGCCTACTACTAACTCAATGTCATTGGTTCTACGTGTATGTGTAGATGTACCCATTCACGCTCTACTGGTCTTGTCAAATTTGTTCCACACGATCACAAACAATCCATCTTATTTCGGATACTCTTACACCATTTGACTAAGCCATGGGACGGACGTCAGTGTCTGACAATTCTTCATTGTAGTCTTTGATTTGTAGGGAATAAATCGCCTCCACGCCGGTAGGTGACAGACGAACAGAGCACCTCAAATTATTTTCAAATAATTACAATATCTACTATTTCGTCGTCTTCACTTGATCGCTATCAGTATCGCTTTTCCCCACGGTCTTGTCAGCTACCAACAAGCAGCAGAGTTCATGAGGCTTCGTCTTGGGAGACAAACCAAAGAAAGTGTGTGACAATCCGCATTCGCCTAAGTCAAACCAATAAGTGGATCAAAACCTGGAGAGGCGACGAACAAACAACTATATCAGAACTACCAGTACTTCGCGTTCGGTGTTCCGTTCACAGTGCACTGTAGGTCATGCTGCATGCAGCGCTGCTGATCACCCGCAGAGTGTGGTCTATACAGGATATTATACCTCACTCCATATACACCCACACTCATAATCATATACCAGATCTCCCATGAAGTTTATAAATTTCCATATACACTGTTCAATACACCACTAAGGAGGTATATACACCACTGAGGAGGTATATACACCACTGAGGAAAACCATCAGAAAAAAACTCACTGAGGAGCTTTCTTTCTCTAAAAAGGAGTGTATGTAGCTTTCTTTCTCTAAAGCTATACCGTATATGTATCTAATATTGACTGAGTACGAGGTCAATATAGGAAATAAAAGCCGAGTAGAAGACCGAGGCGAAGCCGAGGTCTTTTACAAGGTTTTTATTTCCTATACTGACCAAGTACGAAGTCAATATTAGATTTATCACGACAAACAGTCCGTATTTCAAATTCCAGAACGATAACCTCATGAATCCCGGTTTTATGATTGCACAACCGTTGCACCACCAGTCACCACCTACTCATGCAGTGACAATGCTGCACTAGGCACCGTTCAACTGCGCAACCCCTAAGCAGTCAAATATAAGCAGTCAATATAGCCCTAAGGAGTGAAATATGCAGGAATATTTGACTGCTTAGGTATGGCAAAAATCTATGTGAGTCAATACTAAGGGAGTGATAATCTCTATTATAAGCACAGGTCTCCATTACTAGCACAGTCTCTAATACTAGCACACTGTGAGCACTTTTCGAAACATTATAAGCACATGAAGTTGATTGTTCCAACTAGGAACACACGCTTCTTGCCGAACTTGACACTTGACTGACTCACGACTGCCATCCGGAGCACACGAGGAGCACGTCGCACCTTCCACTCGGCAAACCTGCAAGAAAGCACCACTCCCACTTTGCCGAGTGGAAGGTGCGACGTGCTCCTCGTGTGCTCCGGATGGCAGTCGTGAGTCAGTCAAGTGTCAAGTTCGGCAAGAAGCGTGTGTTCCTAGTTGGAACAATCAACTTCATGACTATTACCGCCGAAGTCGCAACTTCTAAGTTCGTATTGTTGTCCCTCACGCGGACGTGCGACTAGTTGTTGGAGGTGACAGCGTTGCGAATAGCTATACTGGCTCTCAACGTCTGTTTTTATCACAACTCCATGAGCGACTCTGACTCACGCTGCTACCTGGAGCTTCACGAGGTGTTTGTCGCGCTGGAAACAAAGCGTCTCTGTAAGTTTGTATCCCTGGTGGTGGTTTGGCCTGGAGAGCAGTATATAAGTGGTGCTTTTCAGGCACAATCTTCCTCAGCCTACTCAAGCTCAACTGATGAGGGGTGAATTCCCCGAAACACCGTGTATTGAGCAGGGAGTGGTGCTTTCTTGCAGGTTTGCCGAGTGGAAGGTGCGACGTGCTCCTCGTGTGCTCCGGATGGCAGTCGTGAGTCAGTCAAGTGTCAAGTTCGGCAAGAAGCGTGTGTTCCTAGTTGGAACAATCAACTTCATGACTATTACCGCCGAAGTCGCAACTTCTAAGTTCGTATTATAAGCACAGTCTCTATTATTAGCACGGTCTGGGTGGAAATCAATGCTGCATGCATGATATCCAGCATGTATTTCTTCTTGCTCCGTATGGATGTATTGGTTGAAAAAATATAAACACGGTCTCCAATATAAGCGCGGTCTCCAATATAAGCACGGGGTACAGGGGTGTAGAAAAAATATAAGCACGGCGCTTATAATAGAGAATATACGGTATTCACTCCTTTTTAGGGAAAGAAAGCTATATTCACTCCTTTTTGCTCTTGAGCTTGCGCATGGAGAGGTATAAATATAACAAGGGACCGAGTGTATATCGAGATATATCGACCAGTTATAAAAACCTCGGCTTCGCCTCGGTTTTTATACTGGTCCATATTTCTCGATATACACTCGGTCCCTTGTTATAATATATACTTACAGTGTCCGCGAGGATTATTTTTCATAATCCCCGCGGCCGCGGCGCTGCGCGCCTTGGGGATTTGAAAAATAATCCCCTCGGAACCGTGCAATATCCTATACATACTCCGAGCCAAAATTTCATGGCTCTGCGATGACCAGAAGCGCCATACCAAGCAGGTGAGTTTTTGACGTGTTGCTTCGCACTGCGACTTGAGTTTTGTATGTATGTATGTATGTATGTATAACTCATAATCACAAGGTGATCGTAGAGGCATTAATCAGCGAGAGAATTGTGAATGATGTCTCTGAATCCAATTCTATCGTGTGCTGCATGAGAGAGAGCATGCAAGGAAAGACCCGTCCAACTTTTTATGTTAGAAATCCATGATGTTGCGGGCCTTCCTCTCGGTCGAGATCCAGGAGTTGATCCTTGCAGGAAGGGCTTGGAGAAAACGTCATGTCTCGTAACATGGCCAAACCACATCAACTTAAATTTCTTGACTTCGTTCGCTAGCCGCATCCTTGCTCCGATGATGTCATTGATTTCTTCCAGGATAGATTGGTTGGTACGCCGGTCGTGGTATGTTACTCCTAAGAGTCGGCGGAAGCATTTCATCTCGAAGGATGAAATTCTTCTCATTGATGAGGCAGATAATGTCCAAGATTGGCATCCGTATAAAACAGTCGCTAGCACAATAGACCTAACAAAACGAAATTTGGTAGGCAAAGAAAGTGATGGCGATTTCCAAATGAATTGAAGCTCAATGATCTTTTGCTTCCCTAGTGCTAAGCGTCTTCTTATCTCCACATCGGACTTGCCATCCGACGTGATTACGGCACCTAAGTATTTAAACTGGGATACCTCTTCAGGGCCTGCTCTAGACATTCAACACAGCCCGGTCAGAGTGTACCTGGCGCATGCAGGCCAGCCGGGTCAAGCCGGGTCAGCCTGATCATCCGGCAGAAAAACAACCAAAAAGCCTGCTCAAAACGCAGGAAAACAGAAAGGCGAATTTATTACCGGAAATCGGAAATTTTAGAGAACAAGGCGAAC